ATTTAAATATCTATAGTTTAAATGTAATTTACCTTAATGTTTTTAGTTTATTAATAACCTACCTTATTTTGAACACATATTACTTGTGCAACTTCAAATTATATTTATTGCATTGTTTTAATGCAATTTACCTTAATGTTTCTAATTTGTTAATTCGTCTTTATAAACTTATTTTGAACACATATTACTTGTGCAACTTTAAATCATATTTATTACATTGTTTTAATGCAATTTACCTTAATGTTTCTAATTTGTTAATTAATTTTTAAAAACTTACCTTATTTTGAATATGATTTAATTGCACAAGTTTATAACATATTAATTGTAAATCATTTAATGACAATATAACTTTAATATTTTTCTTTGGACTGTTTCATTATTTCTTATGAAATTATATTCCTAAACATCATTTGTTATGAAAATATCTCCCTAATAACATAAGAAAAAAGGAAGGTGGGGTATATATAAAGGAGACACCTAAGGGATGTCAATACTAACTTATCAGTCTATTTTTATTCGATAAAAAAATTTAAATTTATAAATTCTTACATTTGTTTGTTTTTTCTATTAACAGATAAATAACACAGACGAAAGACCTGTTGTAGTTAACTACAAACCATTTTTCAGTTTGTTTCAATAGCGATATGCAAATTTAATATTATTTTCGTCTCAATAAAATTTAGAAATCTATTAAATTATTTTATATTGTACAGTTGCTAACAAAATTTGACAATTTTTTGCAGGTTTCTATGGGATATTTTTAATTCATAACTGTTCTTCTTATTTTATATTACTTATGGGTTATATTTNTCATCTCGTGAATAGATTGAGAGCTGATTTTTCTTTTGGTTTATATGCAGATATCCTATTATGATGATTTCTCCACTGAAGCTATATATGATTTGATTGTACACCTCTTTGATATATCATTTCGATAACATCTTTGTTCCTCAATCTGGTAAAAAAAATTCTCTATTTGATAACATCTCTCAGCTATATCATTTCAATATCATCTTTTTGTGCTCCCAATACTTTTTTTTTATTAGTAGATTTATATTATCAATTAGAATTATAAGCTTATATATACATATATATTTGTTTGGTTTGCTGATTGTGATTTTGTTTTATGATATTTTTAATTAAAATTTATATATTTTTTTTGGTTTGCAATTATATGATCTTTTTAATTAAAATTAAATATATATAGTAATATTTATTAATGAAAAAGTTATATCAACTACTTTTTATATTTATTCTTTCCTTATTATATATCATTTAATATTTAAATATCTATAGTTTAAATGTAATTTACCTTAATGTTTTTAGTTTATTAATAACCTACCTTATTT